AACTTCTGCATCCGCCCCTGATATTTAATGAGTTAACATCCAACGGTTTATAGTGTCACACCGCCCAACTGCTGCATTGAAGCGTATGAAGCTGGTACTAGGCGAATGTATTCGCGCGAATCGAAAGCGTTGTTCATGCGCAGGCGCATTAACATTTTCTGTCGGAGTTTTACCTTTCCGCTAAGCCCCGCCCCTTGGATATTGTTGCTAAGGTCCCACAAGACGACAATGTTAAAACATAGGCGAACACGTGCGTTTGTGGGACAACACGTGTGTTTTGTGAGACGCGCGTGTATCCCTAGCGCTGTTCTGATTGGTCAGTTGCTAAGTTTGATTGACACTCCGGAAAGGTGTATTGGTAGTTCGAACTGTTTCTACTTTTTGCGAAGCGAAAAATTTGCGCAACCAATCAGAGCTCAGGAACCCCCCCCCCCCCTTGTTAGGGCTCCGGGCGCTGGGACATGCTACACCCTTTGTTGGCATGTCTGAAGCCATCTTCTCTGTGATGGTGTCCCCACCCACCCTAAAAGGGTGATATATTCAGCTAAGTACTTTTATATACATTTTAAAGAATCTTTATGATATTTTAAAACGCCGTTTCCACTCAATTCGACGACAATCAAAACGGAATGATACAGAGTACTTACTTTGCCACAACCAAATTAATTTTATGAAAATTAGTTATTTTGGAATAAATGCAGCAGCCACAGACATAATTAGGCCTACTACTACCAGTTATCAACCACTTTTCATAAAATAACTTTTATACACATGGCCGTATAATAAACTGATTGTACAGTGGTAGTCAATACTGTTCAAATATCGCCCTCTAACGCATACTCAATTCGGTAAATTTGTTTTGAATTATTCTTTCAAACAAAAAGTGTTAGGTCCGTGATGTAACAGTACATGAACAGTAATTATACTATTTTCATATGTTCTAGTTCGAAGGTATTATTAGGATAAGTGTTATATTCAATAAACACTCTAAAATACATAGGTGTTGTAGCACAAAACGTTCTGATCATCACAATTTTCATTGTCCTAGTTTTTTCAGTTCGTTAGTGATACATTGGTATTGATGTAGGTAGCAGGTCAAAACCTATTAGGCATTGTCTTCCATATAGACACATTCCAGTTATTTACATAACAATACTAAAAGATGGATTTATTTTTTTATAATAGGCCTATATATAATTTAAGTAGGTTTTAATAAAAATGTAGGCCTATTTATAATATTTCAATGGCTAAAGAAAATATGTACCATCTAATTCCTAAAACCGTTACATGGACTGCTGGGTTTTATTCGGGCCAATAACGTAACCGTAATACAACACCCCTTTGTTGGAGAATAGGCGATCCCATTTACAGTGGTCTTTATAGCTCTTTTGTTACTGTTGTTCATCTTAACAATCAAATTAGGTGCATTGGTGTATATGATTCAGCGACAAAATCACAAATGTACAACTCATTATAACTCTTTATTTGTCACTGTAGTTGCGGTTAAAATTGACTGGAAAGAGCCAATAATTATGATATCGTCGCATGGAACATCTTTTCTGGGAAGTTTATTCCTTATATTTCAGATTGTTTCAGTTTCTAGCTGGCCAACGGGGGCACCGGCCGATGCCTGTACTGACCGGACCCCACAACATGGAACAGTTGCCCAATCCTCTCCGTCCCCATTCACCCTGTCATTTTCAACATCGGATCCATATGTTAAAGGTCAGTATACATGATATTATTTTATATATTAATATAAGTTTGAAATTAAATTGTTCCCAATAGAACATGTATTAATGTAGACGTTTAACAGAACTACCGTGGTGGTCGATAATGAATTAATCGGGTTTAATCATGAAGAAAGAAAATATACAATAGAACCCCCATTAATACCATAAAACTGTTTTATTTTCTCTATGAATACCAAGGAGGCACCCATGGGACCAAATAAAGTTTCCCCATAATAGGGGTGTCCCATGAATAGGGGTATCCCTGTCAGAGGACACTAACCAATAACGTGAAATTAGGGTTTTTGGCATTTTTTTTTCGTACAACATGATGACATGATTCATATAATTGGCCTAAGAACGAGTTACAGTTGATTGAATTTTAAACGAATTTATAACAATATTTTGATGATGCAAAAACAATTCATTATGATATGATATTATTCCATGATGTTAAAATGCATTAGGCCTATTACCAAATTCTTGTAGCGGTGATTAGAATCCCATATGCCACTAAACAAGAAATACCCATGGTCAAGAGTCAAAATTAAAAGATTGTAGGCCTATTTATAAGAAGTATAGGAACACATGCATTAGGCCTATACAAATGTCCATTCTAGATATTGGGAGGAAAGAAATGATGTTAAGTTATTGCTCAAAAGGTGTCAAAATATAAATTTTAATGATTTTTTAAAATTTTGAGACGACTGTATTTTTCTAGATACAATGAAATAATAAGTGTCTCCTTAATAGGGGTTAATAATGTGTTGATTTAAACATTTGGCACGTTGAGGGCATGTCACCTTCCCCTTAGTAGGGTCACCTTAATAGGGGCTGTGGTGTCAAATATATATTCCACTTGTTTCACGGATAAATGTCCCTTTCATAGGGGTGTTCCCCTGAAAAGGGGTGTCACAGAGGAGCGGTTCTATTGTATTTTCTTTCTCTATGGTGTAATGTAGGCGTATCATACGTTTTATTGTGGTATGCCCTTCAGTTGAAATACATAAGAAAATGTAAACAATCATGATTCATTATTACAGTATAGTATTATGAATAGTATGATATAACTATATATATGCATATATATCGTGATCTATATATATATATATATATATATATATATATATATATTCTCTCTGCGGGGTGTATCTGTCT